AAAAAAAAAAAAAAAAAAAAAAAAAAAAAAGATGACACAAACCAAGTTACATATAACTTGCTCTTCATCATATCCTCATCAGAAGCATGATCATTAAAACAATTCGGTCCAATTATAAACTGGTTCAGATAAAGCAACTCACAACCCTTTATAAAAATTCAGCCAAAACCCTAACCACAAAGCAAACCACACAGAGAAACCATGTTTCTTTTACTAACAAACAGCTGATAAAAGTCTAATCTAATCAAGAAAAGAATTAAATTAATTAATCTTTTGGCCTTAGTACTATATACGTTTGCGGTTTTGTGCACTACCTGTATCCTTCTTGCAACAAATACTGTCTCCCACATTCAGCATAGCACCTGGCATTGTAATAACGACTGTAATATTCACTGTAACTATAGCCGTAATGTTCACACGGCCCCTGCTGATAGTGACAGTAGTCAATCATTCTCACTGAGTTGGGCTGCCTGCAGCTTTCAAAAATTGTTGCAAATGCCTTGATTTTAGTTTGTTAAGCTGCAGAATAATGTTTCTGTCCTGATAACTTTTTGTAAGTTATTTCCACAACTATTTTCACTCAAGAGATACTTCTCAACTATTCTTCTGTCTTGTGTTTGTTAGTTACTGGCACCAGTGCTCTCTCTCCACCATGAAATCACCAAATTTTTTCCTTATGATTTGTTGCATTTCTAAGATCCAAGTAAAATGCCTTTGTTCTCCAGAAAACTTGCAGTCAATATGACAAAAATGCAAGGACAATACTAAAGCTCTTTCTCTTTGAGTATTGTGACCATGCCGTAGGAGGAAGTGTGTTTTATTGGAAGCAGAGTTTATATTGTAATTTTGACCCCTGGAAGGACGCCCACTTCTTGCCGAAAGAGGTGATGTCATCGTTGTACCTTCACTTTTGCCAAGCACCTAAATCACCTCCATCCGTTAAAAATGCAGTTGAAAGTTATACCACATGTTAGAATGAAAACATTTAGGCACACTTAAAGCCATACTAATTTGTTTTTCATTTTAAGACATATTTTTGATCATTTTTAAAGGACTTTATCAAGTTTCTCTTTTAGAACATTATTTTCATTTGATTGACACATCCTGTTGACCTAGTTTTCCATATATGTCAACCCCGATTTAACAACCAATAAGGCAGCCCAATCAAAACATATGAACCTCCCCTACATCACCATATTTGGGTCATTGATACCATATTTGGAATCCAGCGTGCTGATGGATAAAAGATCAAATCAAGCAATTCTTTGGAGTTGTATGAACTTTTTGCACATGTATTTTTCTTAAATAGTATTCTCTAAGAGTCAGTGCACAATGCAAGGCTGAATCAATAAAGATAAGGGTAAGTTTTGCTCTCTGACAGAGATGTATAAATTTAGATGTTCACGACAGCGACAGTTGCTCCGCTGACTAACACTGACCCAGTGTAACTGAGCAGTTTGCTAGAAAGAAAAGTGAGAACTCCAAGCGATTGCCTGCTAAGCACTAAGAACTATGAACCTGCTTTCCCTTTCTTTTCTTTTCAAATACACTTATTAAAAACCTTCATACAAGGCCTAGAAAAAACTCTATTGTGCAAACACTATGAACCTGTTTTTGTTTTTTTTTTTCTTTCAGTTTAGCTTATTAAAAAGTTTCATAGCAGCATTAATAAAAAAACCCAAAAATTAAAAAAAAAAGCAAAAAAGAAAGAAAAATTGTTCCATTTATCATCTGAGCAATTTTACAGGGGCACCTGCAATATCCAAGGTCATTAGTACTTTTAATTGGCAAACAATGCTTTTGTGGCCAAAATTTCACTGAACCCTTCCAGGGAGCTTCTGAACCTGGGCATTACAATATCAAATGAGCATGCCTACATGACTTTCTGTTGAATTCAATGTTCCACTCTGGCAAACAATTCTGCCCATGCAAACTCACTGCTATGGCTGCACAGCCCTCACCTTGCGGCAACGTTGCGAAAACGTGCAGCTGCCACAAAGGCCAGACTGCGAGATTGAACGACAATGCAATCAAATGTACTGAAGTTGTTTCATGCAATTTGCAAATGGTCCACTGCACAATTTAAGGACAAATATGTCGATTCTTGAAAAGAAATTACCCAGAAAAATACGTATTGCCAGTGCTTGATTCCGATAAAAATGCAGTCACTTATTCATAAACAAAGTTCTTTTCATATCTCAAAACCCAGTAAGCCCACCCACCCCTAAAATTTTTGTAACAAAAAAAATTTAAAGACTTTAAGGGTTTAAATTACATTAACTTCTATCAAAACGAAACCAAATATGAAAATAGCAGAGTCATCACTTTCGTAGCAAAAACCCCCTCCCACACAAGTTTTTTATGCCTACTGACACATTCTGAGTTCACTTAGGCAAAACCACAGTAATGTTTAAAACAACAGACACGGGCTACCACCAATTTGACCAAAGTCTTCTTGATTACACTTCTGATAAGTCATGCTTAGGAGCATAACTTGAAACATCCCTTAGATGTAGCCATGTCAGGCTCCATTTACGTAACAAGATTAGAAATTACCAGAGGTAGAAGAGGTTGGCATATGCCACTGGGCTTTAGACGAAATTCTGTGTTGGTTAAGCACACAATTAGGACCTGCAGCTAGTTTTCTTTGTTGTTCATCATTTCATCCATTTTTTTTCACAATTGTAATTGCAATATTCAGCAGACAGAAATAATTAAGGGATTGGACTCTCATGAGTTTTTTCAAGATGAATGTGTCAAAATGGTAGTAAAAGTCAGAATACGATTGACTCTAATTAAAAACAAGGACAAGCGAAGCAGTTCAGTGATGGACTACTTCAAACAAAAGCCAATGATGCCACAAAAAAGAACTACATCTTAACCAAATAGCCATACGGTAATAAAATGATAAAAGAAAGAGAGGCATTACCCTTTCCCCCCCAAGGCTAACACAATAAATGCTAAATTTCAAAGAACTTTTTTTACAATTAATAGAAGGTGATTTTGTCTGTAATCCTTCAAGTCCCGACAAACTTTTTTTATCAAAGGTTGTATTTTTCTAACCTTTCATGGCCATATACTGTACCGAATGCTTATATATCATAAATTTGTCCTTATCATCAGATTTACAAATTGCTTTACAAATACAATGGTAATCCTTCTCTGACTGACAAGTATTGCCATTTTTTTCTTTTTAGATGCAATTAAAGTTCTACAAATTATGTGGTTGACATTATAAAAGGCAAGCTACTCAAAAGGAAATTGCTAGGAAAAGAAATCTCCCAAAGAAATATCAAGTTAAAAATGAATTTTTGTTGTTGTTGTTTTAGAAAAAAACTAAACTTGATAAACTAAGAGTGATCTATTCTTTGTGTTTAATCTGTACTTTTCTATTGAAGAAAAAAAATTCATTTTTATATACTTACTTCATTCCGTACTTTTGAACCATTTTCCGGAAATTAAGATCTCACAGGCAAATACATAAATATCTATACTGCGAAAATGCATCCCCTACGTGAACTTTTCTGCTACAGCTATATTCTGAATCATCACATCAAATTCTCCAGATTTGTAATTTCCAATGTCAATCCTTTCAGCATGTTATTAATTCTAGATTAAATATTTCGGCACAGTCATGGAGAATAGCATCCAGGGCCTCCAAAGTATGCTATTATTTTCCCAGCAAAGTTTATATATATATTGCATGGCTCAAAAATCTGCAATGAGTAATTATGCTGGTAGATGAATTAGTCATCTATAAATTCAGAAAAAAATTGACCTGTTGAAAAAAAATACACTTTGTAGAGAGATGGGACTCCAATCAGGGCATAAATTCAATTCAAACTATTTCACAGACAGACTCGTGCTTATTTGGATGTGGTATTTTCAGGGCAAGTGACAGGGAGTGGGGCACACAGATTGTGTTCCTGTCTCAACTGGCACAATCTGGGGCTTAAGAGCTCCACACTACTGCAGTCTTGATTTCTTAAGCTCCTGTGCAATAGATGTTATCCAACCTTGCTTCAATGCATTTAAAAAATAACCATATACTCCTTACTGCGTCAGGCATGCACACATACTTTTCAACAGATTTTGTTTTCTTTTTAAAAAGAAATAAAAATTCTCTTTTGCTAAAAGTTTTAGTTTATAATATAAACAAGTAGACAAGTTTCTTACAACTATATGGGTGGCGAGGCCATACTAGTAGCACTGATGAAAATATTCAACAGTAAATTATCAGTAAATGCCTTTTATCTTCTATAAATAACTATGCACGATGCAGTTAATTGACTGATATGGTACAGATGGTTTATAATAATATATAACTTATGTGAATTCATTCTCACATGATGATCCCATGTGTCCCCATCTGTCATGGGACATACTACACCAACACCCATTGATCTTCTACTATAAAATCGATCAAAATTATGAACCTTCAATTAATAAAATCTATAAACAGATTACCTGTCATTATAAGATGAAGACAGTAATGTGCTCTTGCACTGCATGCACCCTTGGTGTACGTGCTTCCGCTCGTGCCCTTGGGATGTACAAGCAGGGCAATCATTATGCACATGCACCAAGCGTCGTGTGCTCAGATCGTAATACGTGAGTATCATACTAGGATAAGAGTCTGCACCCGTCCCTACACTCCCCTGGTCTGGTCCGTCCAGCTGTTGGAGAGATGGGTAATAAGTGTACCCTCCGCCTGGACTTTGTCGGCACAAATACGTCTGACAATACAAACAATGGCACCCACTCACAGAAGAAGCCTCCATTGATATATTAGCTAATGAAATCTTTTATCACTTGGGATCAAACCCATACGCCACTATTCTGTCTCCTTATCTTCATCCAATTGTGCTTGTAAGCTGCCATTGTGCCATCCAACTGTTATCCTTGTATTCAATGATAAGCAATGACACACAACACTCCATATATATGTAACTGTTTTGTCAATTAAGGCCAGATTCATTAAAAATGAATGTGTTCATTTAGCAGGTTTCATGACATATATATTTGTTGGCAAAGCTCTCCAAGATTTTTTATGCGTAGATTAGATGAAATAAACTATTTATTTTGTGCTGTTCTTTCTTAAAATTTAATTCATTATCCTATTTATCATCGTTATAATTTCAATATACAATGAGATACCTTGTTCTTAGGTTCCATTTGTTGAAACAAAAACTATCTTTCACTTTTTTATCTTCAACTTACCACTTAACATTATTAATTTTCATACAGTTTTTGAGTTTCACAAGTATGACATACAATGTAATTTAGGCTTCAGAACGTCTGTGCCTATATATCATAAGCTCAGTCTCAATTTGTGATACAACAGTCCCATTATCTCCTCTAACCCAAGGGAGACAAGCGCGCGTGTGGGTGCAGATTAACGCAGGGGTACAGCTTTTGGGAGTGACGGGGACGTCTCTGTTTCACTCTTCATATAGTAAAAGTGCAAAATTCATATTAATCAAAGGCTACTGCCAAAATTTCATCGCCAAGGGAAATTGTCTGGTTGTATTTATCACCTCATGACGAGATCTAGTAAAGATTGGCCAAGAGGTATCTTGTGAAGGGGGTAATGTCAGGCAAAAGATGACAAGAAAAGGCCGAAATCTATGATTGATCATGTTGTCCAAACCCACAAAAGTTATCCTCTGCAAGCCCAAAACACCCCCCCTCCAAAAAAAAATCTTGTTTTGAATATTGTAAAAATATCATCAATGTGCAAATGACTTACTAAAATACAATCAAGCTAATTGCTTTTTACATATACATAAATTACCATCTCATTATGACATAGGAAATGTATTTGGGTGTAACTAACCTCCCGACCCCCCCCCCCAAAAAAAAAAAAAATCTTGATTCTGAAATATGCCCTCTTTTATGATTTCTCGAACTTAATCACTAATCATTATGCTAGACCATTGCCATCAGATAATATTTTACCTAGTATCAAAAATTTTAAACTTTGTCTAAATGCCACCTAAAATATTTGATTATTCTGAGCCAATTAATTTGATGAAATAAAAAACTGTTCTACAGCCTTGACCCTGAATGTACAAATTGTTAAAATGTTAGTTTGATGAAATAGAGATTTCAACATTACTGAGTCATAAGATTTACTGGTACAAATTTTCCAAATATAGAGCCCATTTTAAAGATACAGAGCAAGTGTTCTATAGAATGACTCAAGGAGCGATACAGCAAATTTTTTCATGTAAAATATCTAAAAATTTTCTCATATGAGTAAATGTTAAGAAGTTCTTTGATTAAACTTTTCACTTCTGTTTACCATACTCCTACAGTATGCTTTCTTCAAAATTTTCTGCAACATTTTGGTCAACATTTTGCTTCCAGTTTAATCTATAGAGAGGCTGTTTTTTTTCTTTTATTTGCCTTTTAACTACTGTGACATACTTTCCTCCATTCCAAAATTGTGTTAATAAGTAATTTTTATTATTTGTTCCAAAAATATTTTAGTCAGTCAAACAAGTACCATTCATGTGAACAGTTACATACTGCAGATAATCTATGCACCCACAAACAAACACTGTGACAATGACATGCCTAAAGATCACGAATGGCAATCACGAAATGCTACTTTC